CATTGTTGATTAGATAATGTTGAACCACAGTCCCTCCACACTGTGAGGGACTGTGGTTGAACTAATTAATATTAACTAGGCCTAACGTTGATGCCACAATAAGATTGCCGTGTTGGTCAATTTAATTTCCAACATTTATTTTGATTTTTAAAAGGGTACATTTATGAAACGTTTACAACGATCTCAGATTTATACTCTTTACACAATACTGGAATTTTATTCACAATGTATTGTATCAGTTGCATTGTGATTCCTGCGTTAAACATCCGGACGGCGACGAACGGTGCTAATATATCCCCCCCCCCTGTTATTGTTATTCTGTCACAGGTCCAACGATTTGTGGCACCAGGTTGGCCACCGACAGTGACGTATTGCCGGGCAGTTGGTCCTGGCAAGTAAGTATCCTAATTAAGGACGTACATACTTGTGGCGGTGTGGTCATCAACCAAGATTGGGTTCTTACAACAGCTCGATGTCTGTAAGTAGACCGGTATTTTCATCAATTTTTTTTTCAGCAAATATTTTTTATGATTATTGGTAAAAAATGACATTTTATTTTTCCCTTGAAAGCTATCACCCATTTTAGTTTGATACTTGATAGGTTTGTTTGATACTACCTATTAAACCGTCAGGTTTGTACGTATATAGAGTACACTGGTAATGTACGTGTATTTTCACACATCTTCTCATCAAATGACTGAAATACAACCAAATACTATTTTGTGGGGATTTAAAAAGAGAATACGAAAAGTAACACAAAAAGAAAAACCACCATAACATGTTAAAAAAAATAGTTTCTTTTCAAGATATTTTGCTCTAAAAAATGCATGTCACAGTGAAACAGCTATGCTACCAGGCACATAAATGGTACAGGTATGCTACCAGTCACATAATTGATACAGGTATGCTACCACACACAGAATTGATACAGGTATGCTACCACACACAAAATTGATACAGGTATGCTACCACACACAGAATTGATACAGGTATGCTACCAGGCACAGAATTGATATAGGTATGCTACCACACACAAAATTGATACAGGTATGCTACCACGCACAGAATTGATATAGCTATGCTACCACACACATAATTGATACAAATATATTACCACACACAGAATTGATACAAATATATTACCACACACAGAATTGATACAGGTATGCTACCACACACAGAATTGATACAGGTATGCTACCACACACAGAATTGATACAGGTATGTTACCACACACAGAATTGATACAGGTATGCTAACAAGCACAGAATTGATACACGTATGTTACCACACACAGAATTGATACAGGTATGTTACCAAAAAACAGAATTGATACAGGTATGATACCACACACAGAATTGATACATGTATGCTACCACACACAGAATTGATACAGGTATGCTACCACACACAGAATTGATACAGGTATGCTACCACACACAGAATTGATACAGGTATGTTACCATACACAGAATTGATATAGGTATGCTACCACACACAGAATTGATACAGGTATGCTACCACACACATAATTGATACAGGTATGCTACCACACACAAAATTGATACAGGTATGCTACCACACACAGAAATGATACAGGTATATTACCACACACAGAATTGATACAGGTATGTTACCACACACAGAATTGATACAGGTATGCTACCACACACAGAATTGATACAGGTATGCTACCACACACAGAATTGATACAGGTATGTTACCACACACAGAATTGATACAGGCATGCTAACAAGCACAGAATTGATACACGTATGTTACCACACACAGAATTGATACAGGTATGTTACCACACACAGAATTGATACAGGTATGATACCACACACAGAATTGATACAGGTATGCTACCACACACAGAATTGATACAGGTATGCTACCACACACAGAATTGATACAGGTATGCTACCACACACAGAATTGATACAGGTATGCTACCACACACAGAATTGATACAGGTATGTTACCACACACAGAATTGATACAGGTATGCTACCACACACAGAATTGATACAGGTATGCTACCACACACAGAATTGATACAGGTATGCTACCACACACAAAATTGATACAGGTATGCTAACACACACAGAATTGATACAGGTATGTTACCACACACATAATTGATACAGGTATGCTAACACACACAGAATTGATAAATGTATGTTAACACACAGAATTGATACAGGTATGTTACCACACACAGAATTGATACAGGTATGTTACCACACACATAATTGATACAGGTATGCTACCACACACAGAATTGATACAGGTATGTTACCACACACAGAATTGATACAGGTATGCTACCAAGCACAGAATTGATACAGGTATGTTACCACACACAGAATTGATACAGGTATGCTACCACACACATAATTGATACAGGTATGCTACCACACACGGAATTGATACAGGTATGCTACTACACACAGAATTGATACAGGTATGATACCACACACAGAATTGATACACGTATGTTACCACACACATAATTGATACAGGTATGATACCACACACGGAATTGTTACAGGTATGCTACCACACACAGAATTGATACAGGTATGATACCACACACAGAATTGATACAGGTATGCTACCACACACAGAATTGATTCAGGTATGCTACCAAGCACACAATTGATACAGGTATGCTACCACACACACAATTGATATAGGTATGCTACCATACACAAAATTGATACAGGTATGCTACCACACACATAATTTATACAGTTATGCTACCACACACAGAATTTATACAGGTATTCTACCTAGCAGAGAATTGATACAGCTATGCTACCTTGCACAGAATTGATACAGGTATGCTGCCAACCAAAGAAATGATACAGGTATGCTACCAAGCACAGAATTGATACAGGTATGCTACCACACACATAATATATACAGGCATGCTACCAAGCACATAATTGATACAGGTATGCTACAAGACACACCATGGATACAGGTATGCTACCACACACACAATTGATACAGGTATGCTACCAAGCACACAATTGATACAGGTATGCTACCAAGCACACAATTGATACAGGTATGCTACAACACACAGAATTGATACTGGAATGTT